CTTTTAGTAATTTAAACTCTTTAGAACTTACTCTAAATTATCTTTAGTTAGTGAGACAATATTGAACAGTTTTCAACATCCATTAGTAGCCTAATATGTACCAAGACTTCAACAACACATTTGGAAAAGTCTTTTATGATATGGATGCAGGTGAGATAAATATAATAGAGTTAGACCATTCAAATTTGGGTGAATGTGCAGCTGAGCATACAATTCCACCACAGGTACAGATGGTTATGGCACAGGTACAGATGGTTACAGCATGCACACAGGGAGGCTTCCATGTGGTGCTTCAGAGAAGTTTGCTCTATGCAAGGTCTGCATCACAGACTGACGACATGACATGCTGACCCACTCAGAAGATGACACCAAGTGCTATGCTGTAGAAAAAATAAAAGCAATTACTGTGATAACTTGATGAACTGAATCCAAGAAGATGCAAATGTTTATAAACCAGTTAAAACTTCAGTAACTGATTTCACAAATTAGCTCCATACATACAGAAAAGAGAAAACATGACATGCTCTCCTCAAAGGCTACTATAGTTTTTCTTGTTAAGACATGAAATACCCTTGACAGCCAAATCATGTATCCAGATAGATAGTGATTTTGCACAAACTTTCTAAGGTAGATTCAAGACCGCTGACATCATATGCACACTCGAGTACAAATGGATATGCAGAACCACTTGTTCAAAACTAAAGAATTTGAATAAAAGATTGAAAAAATACAGCACTCTCTCTTCTATGTGTGAGGCCCTGAAACCCAAAGGTCATTCACCCCTCAAGTGCATAGTGCACTGATATCACTGGGCAGAGAACCTGCTGACATAGAAATTCCATCTGCCTGTTTCGTGCTGAACTCCAGTGCAAAGCACAGAGCCTGGGGGAAAAAGGAGAAGTCAGTAGATTAGTAAAACATAAGAAGAGCCACAAAGATAAGAATGATGTACCTTTCTCAATACTCTATTTACTAAACTGGACATATCATGTCGGGTTGGAAGGGAAACACACATTAATTGTAAGAAAAAATACCAGTATTTAGAGGACCTTGGGCTCTGAAGTAAGATTTACTCCCTCAGGGGTTACTGTTTTGAGTACTTTTCTCTTGTTGCTGGGACAAAATACATGACAACCAAATTTAAGGAAGGAAAGGTTTATTTAGCTCACAGTCTGTGGAGGTTTCAGTCCAGACTCGGCTGGCTCCAAGGCAGAGCGGCACATGGCACAGGGCAGCTGTTCATGGCAGCGGGAGATAGCAAAGCAGCAAGCGCAAAAGGGAGGAGCAGTGGCAAGCAGCCTCTTTCCCTCCCTTACATTGAGAAAGTATCCGCCCCAGGGTGCGTGTAGCACTCACACCCATAATCCCAGCATTGGACCATGGATCAAACATAAACTCTAGAAGCCTGCCCCATAACTGCATAAGGCTTTGGAGGGTCATGCAGACACAAACCACAACAATTACTTTTTAAAAAGTCATGTAAAAATATTAGAGATATAAATTAGTCACAGTTCTCTCCCAAATCGTACACAATTGTAATGATATGGTCACAATTTTATCTGAAAAATAGCTTCAGATCATAGGATAAAGAGTTACATTATAATAAAAGCAATTAAGTAAACTGTCTAAATGTCTTCCCCAAATTCCATAGCCCACTGAAAAACCAGAAAACAAGCTAATAAAACAGATAATTAGTGAATAGTTACTAGGAAAGGTCAGTATCCATATTTCATTCTTATGTCTGTACAAGACATTTCAGCTATATGGAAAACTTTACAAATTGTTTCATTAAGAATTTTCATTATATTTGTATAAGCTTACAAAATTAAGACTAAATTACATGAAATTTTAGAAAACTTTTTTCCTTAAAACAAGAATAAAATATGTAGTGTTTCTGTAAATTTGGTTGCTAAACAACCAAGTAACATAATAGAGGGGGTGGTAAAAAGTAAAACAGGTGCAATGTATACTTGATAATTGATGTTATCTGCAAAAATTTTGAGAAAATACTTAGCATTTAAACTGAGTAAATTTGTTTGTATCCATTATTTGGTAACTTTCATCCTGCTGTACAGATTACAGACATATCATTTATTGGTGAACTTTACTTTAACTAATTTCATCTGGGTATATTTATCAAGTACCCAGAGAATAATACTAAAAACACTAGCTGTGGCATGCAAACACCCTAGCAAACAAAGCTTACTTGCCCTATGAAAGAGCTACTTAGGACACAAAATAGAAGCCACCAAATATATTTTAGACAGTAAATAAGACAAATAACTGAATGTGAGAAAAATCTGAGTTAAATATTGGTGTTTAGAGTCCTTATACAAGTCCATATTTAAAGTAATATGACATTATATTAAATAATTCAGTAGTAACTACAATCTTTAATCAGGAGTCTTCTAAGTGGGAGATTTCCTTAAAGCACAATTGAAGGGAGGTCCCACAAGCAAGTCATTTGGGCAAATGTTTAGTTTATGCTCTTCTGAAAATCCATAATCGTTTTTGGATTCATCATCCTATTACAGGTTCCAAGGGTCCTCCAGTAAAAGTATCTGTCTAAACTTGTTTATCCTAGAATTTACAAATGTATTTGCAGTTCTACTGTTCTGAGGTCAAGGTCCGGTTTCTTACAAGAGAAAGAATCCTCTCTTAAACAGGCAGGGCTCATCCTCTCTGTCTCTTCAAGCCCTGGGTCAGATGAATCTCAAACCCAACGTGGAGGACCATTTCCTTTAGTCTGTTAATTTCAACGTTAATATCATCTTAAAATACACAACATTACAAATACGCTTTACCACCTAAAGTAGTGTAGCCAAGCAAACACATACCAATAACCAGAGCACCTGGTCGGCTCACGATTCTGAGATTTCAGTCTTGTTCGGGACACTAGTGTCAACCTGGATGGGGACACAACGGAAACCTTCTCGAAAAGGGCATGCGTGCCTTAGGGCATGATAGTTCCAGTGCTTCTTATTGAGCTATTACCTGTAACCTCTAAATCCACGCTTCTGTAGTCCTTACGAAGTCAAGGTTGATGTTATGCATATTTAACTTCTCTTTAGAAAGTAAGAGCTGAAAATTTGGCTAGCTACTGTCCTGGAAGGTTTAGCCAATCAAGGATATTTGAGAGACTAACGAGCAGGTGGCGGGGGAACGGGGCCTTCATTTTTCCTGGTTTTCCTAGCAGGGGCATCTTAGGAATGACACTCCCCTTGGCAGTAGCAAACATTTCCATCAGCAGTTGTTTCCAAGACTTTCCACCCTGCCTGATTGGGTTTATTGCTCTTCCTTCATCACGCCGGCCCATGCCTGACAGCACCTGGCTTGGCCACCTTCTCACCTCTGGGACAGCTTACCCAGCTCCCTCAGTTTAAAGGGGGAGAGGTTTAGGGTGGCTCTCGGTTTCAGCTCATAGTTGGCTTGCTCCAAGGCAGAGACAGAGGATAACTGGTGGGCATGGTGGAGGAAAAGGATCTCATACCACTGCAGCCAGGAAGTAGAGAGAGAAGGGAGGAGCAGGCACAAGAATACAAAAACACACCCTTCCAGGTCATATGCCCAGGGACCAGGCCCTTCTGACCGGGCCAGGCCTGCTAACAGTGCACTTAGCTCTGAACTCATCCTTGGGTTAATTCATGCTGAGTGCAGTGCCCTCATGAGCCAATCTCATTCAAAAGCCCACCTCTGAACACATGAGACTTTGGGGGACGCTTTTGCTATTCTAGGTCTGTTCTGGGAAGGAACAGTTTTGCAGGGAGATCTACGAGGAGGCTCCCAGGAGGGAAACGACATGGAAACGGGAATGGGAGACATTTGTTTGAGACAAGGAACAGCACACGAGTGTTTTCCATTTCAAGGAGACTATGGGGAAAGGATAATGTGGCACAGACCCGGTCACAGGCTAATGGGTGGTGAGGAACCGAGCGAGCTCTAGTGGGGCCTTTCAAAGCAGTTGGTGCACGGCCCTGTGACTAAGAGCGTACATGCCCAAGAGCCAGACTTGCTGGCTACTTGCTAACTGCACGCGGGCAAGTGATTGAACACCACAGCGCCTCACTTGAAAGATAATTGTGCACTTACTTCCTCAGGTTGTTTGAAGAACTGATCAGTTAATGTATACATAACTTTGCCCAGCACTGCTTGGCACAGTTAGCTCTATCTGTGTAGCTCGTTGTCAGTGCATGAGGGATTGTCCAACCGGAAGTGACTCAGACACGGAGGTTCAGAGGTTTCACCCGAGGAAGGACTCTCTGAGGGCACTCCTGCCTGGTGCAATAAAGTGCAAATGCAACACGAAAGCAGTAATGAGTGATGGTGGGGGCCCAGTTATCATTTCTCATTTAGGAACCCAAAGGCGGGGTCACTGCCAGCGTTCATTTAATTTTACATAAACACGAAGCAAATCTGACAGGTTCTCAGTGTAAAATGAAATATAAAACTGTTCTTAATGGTGGTTTTTTCTTCTTGTTTTTTAATACTATTGCTATACGGGACTGATGCAAAAATAATAAAAGCAGGATGATCTGTGGTAAACTCTGAGGATAAGGTTAGGACTCTAATTCCTGATTTACCTTGGGATGAAAGCTGCAACCTCAGATTATGATAAAGGCTGACATCTTCAAATGCCCCCCTGCAACCCGCGCCCCACCCTGCAGCCCGGAATAGGTAGACAGTGGGGCTGGCTCAGCTGGAAGCCCAGCTGACAGGTAGTGGGGCGACCGGAGCTAAGAAGGCCGAGCACAGGTAGGCTGAGGTGATAAACCGCGGTCTCCCTGCTAGTGCTCCATGGAGAACAGAGGCCAGGCAAGGCAAGATGCGAAATGGGACCGGCGTGGTTTTCTGAGCAAGAACAGGAAATGGGCAGTTGTGGCGATCTGACATTCAGAACACAGGCACTCTGGGGACACGGCGGGGCGTTGCCTTCCGAGTTTGGGACCCAGGGTGGGGCGGGGCCCGCGCCACGGACAATGAGCATTGTGACAGTGCCAGGTGGGGCGGGGCCGGGGGCCAGGAGGGGCCAGGCTCGCTGAGCCCCTGGCAGGCAGGAGGCGCCCAGGGGCGCTGGGCTCTGCAGCATGTGTCTGCGCGTTCGGGACGATGAGCCCTCCCAAGTCTACCCTGTGAGTGTCCCGAGGGCCCTAACCCCGTCCCCAGCCCTGATTCCCAACCCTGCGATGTGGAGATTACCGGATCAAAATGGGGTGGGGGTGTTTAAAGGATGATTTAGAAATCCGAGTAAGAGGTGAGATCTTCATAAATTCACAGCCAAGCCCCTTGAGCCTCGCTACTTCGGTCACCCCAGATTTCCCAGGTACCGGGTCCCTCCATGTAAAGCAGGGGCACCACCAGAATCAAACGCCGCTAAGAGTATGACTTTTACAATAAAATTTTTGTACACCCTTCCCCTGCAGAGCAAATCTTAGTCATCCACCTGTCCTCTGTAGTTTAGTTCAGAGCTGGTTCTCTTCTCTCATTTTACTGTTTCCATTCTCCAGCTTCTGCTTTAGCTTAGATTGTTCTTATTGTTATCCTGTTTTTGAGATAGTATTCATATATTACTTAAATAAAAGTGCAACACAAGCCCCCTGTTAGAAGCATCCATTCCTCTGCCGTGTCCATACTTTGATGTGTTTACATGTGCATTTTAATTTTGCGTATCATGCAGGAAGGACCAAGACACCCTCACCCTTCAGAGCTCACTGCCAGACAGGTAATATTCAAATAGTTTAAATTCCGCTTGCTTCCACACTGTGCTTTTGACTTATTCCTTTATGGACTTGTTCCCCAAGGAGTAGAACATTGTTTTTTCTTTTTGTTTTGTTTTTGGTACCAGGAATCAAACTCAGGACCTTGTGATTTCCAGGCAGGTTCTGTGCTGCTGAGCTATATCCCCAGCCCTGAGCATTGTTACTAATTAGACATTTCCATGATATCTTTCTTAATACTCTGGGATCTTGACGGGACTGCCGGAATGGGTCCTAATGAGGGTAAAATAAATGGCTTATATTGTCATGTTAAATACAACATTTGATGCATACACAAATACATATATGCATGAATAGCATTATAACCTATAAAACACAGTAATGCAACATACTTCCCCTTTAAGAATGAAACCATTCTTGAACCTGTGTAAGGGTCTCCTCTCTATTTTACCTCATTACATCTCTCTTACCAGAGACAACTACTATCCTGAATTTCATTTTTATCCATCTCTTCCATTTAATAGGTTTGTCACATGTGTGTCTCTGTATGTGTAGCTTTGTTTCAGTTGCTTTTAAATTTATAAGCATGCAATCATACAAAATTCAGTGTGTCTTTTACTCTTTCTTCCCAATATTGTTTCCCAAAGCTAGTCCATGTTGGTGTGTACACTTGCATTTCCTTCATTTTCACTGCTTTTCTTTTTTTTTTTTTTTTTTTTGGTTTTGGTTTTTTTCTGGTGAGGAGAATCGAACTCACGACCTTGCGCTTGCCAGGCAGGCGCTGTGCCGCTGAGCTAAATCCCCAGCCCCTTCACTGCTTTTCATTATCTCATTGTAGAACATGTCACAGTTCCTTAATCTTCTCTCTTATTCACGAGCACTGGGTCAGTTCCTCTGTTTCCTACGATGAGCAGCGCTACTGTGAACACCTAGTACATTTCTTTTTTCCCCATGTAAGAGAGGTTCATTGGATTATTTAGGCAGGATGCAATATAGAATATAAGGAAAGCATATTTTTCATCACTTTAAAAACAATGCCACGTTCTTTTTAAGCAACTTATACTAATTTACATTGCTGTTGGCAGTAAATAAAAGGGTTCTCATTTTTCATGTTATTTGTTTAGATACAGAGTCTTGCTATGCAGTTCAGGCTGTCCTTGAACTTGCCGCAAGCTTCTAAGCATAAGCCACCATACTCTCTTTCTCATATTGTCTTTTTCACACTGTATTTTATCACCTTCAAAGCATTCTAAGTACTTGTGATGCCATACAATGGAGACATAAAAAGCCATGTATAAAATGCAACGTTGAAGAGGGATGAGTAATTACTTGCTTTCTTATTTTTACAATGATTTTAAATACTATCGCATTTAAAATGAACTTAAGCACACATATCCACGAGTCTGGATTTAAAGAAATATGCACAGTGTAGAAGTAGGAATCAGGAATAGCCTCCTTTGAAAACACTGCTGATGCTGTAAGTTTTACGGGCGTAAGGGGGAGGCGTTTTTGTTTGTTTTGGATTTTTGAACAGAGTATTGCTCTGCAGTTCAGGCTGGCCTTGAGCTCACTGTCACCCAGGCTGGCCTCGAACTTGTGGTGATCCTCCTGCCCCAGCCCCCTGAGTACTGGGATTACAGGAAGTTTTCTGTTTGTTTAATCTGCCCCTCACACACTCAAAGGAAAGGGATTTGTCTTCTTCTGTCAGCTATGCAAATCATGTGCCATGTTATCTCTTATTGATACAAAACAAAACATAATCAGTATGTTTGATGTGCATGTTATAAAGAATATGATCTGGTTTTCTTTCTGTCATTCTCGTAGTCTGCAGATAAGCGCATTCTTTACTTGCGCAACCTGAGGAAACAGAAGAGGAAATTAAACAAGCAGTTTATGAGACCAGCTCCCACTCCAGAACCAGGGCTCCTGGTAAGTGCGCAGCTGTCACCAAAGTAAACAGGTCCCTATCGCGAGTGACAACCTCATTTCGTGCATAGCAGCATTCACTCTAAATTTTATTTTCCCCTTTCCCATGTAAAATGTGCAATTTCAGCCTGAGAAAGTACCTTAAACCTCTTCTCCTCAAGCCCTCGCTATTTAACTCTCCTTTCCAATTGTTCCCTAGAGGTAATGTGGTTTAATGAAAAATGATGTCACCTTTGAAATCACGTTTTGTTGGATTCCAGTTGTGTTTGCCATGGGTTTGTACACTGTCCAAGCTTATTCACTTCAATCTTTGGGATCATATTCTTTGAAAAGTAAATTATAAAATCTCCTGATAAGTAGTTAGTTAGCGCAAGGTTCAACACTTGAACTATCAGGTAACTAGAACAATCACAATTTATTCCACTGTTGTCAAGGACTTCAAAATTCTAACATTATGATGTGTCCAGGAGCCTTTTGCACGTGGTAGTAATTTATATTTTTGTAACTAGGCAGAAATCCATGACACTGCTACTGGAAAGTCCTTCAGATAATTAAGGATCACTATAACTTTCCTCTAATCTCTGCATTTTCTTCAGGGTAAAAGTCCAGATTCTCCATTTATCTTTCAGTCTACTGGTGACCCCTGATGTTATTCAGCCAATCTCCAGGATGATGCTTACATTTCCTCTAGAGCTACACTTACTTTCTAGAAATTGTTCCTTCTTACACTGTTTGTATTCTGATTCACAATGTATTTTCTGTGTCATATCCATGTTGAGATGGGGTTCATTTGATGAAAAGGTATTCGAATTTTCATCTGAATATGACCTTACTTAAATTGAGAATAGTCAGTCTCAGTGCTTCTCAAATGTGATCAAAGACCAATTGCACTTGATTGTTTTGTTTTGTTTTAATCTTAAAGCCATTGTGGACTGATAATTTTGTAAAATGAAAACAACATATCCTAGCACTACCAAATTTTTATAAATGATTATTTATCATTTCTTTACCAACTTTGGTCTCCAAATGACAATGAAAGCGAGACTTGCACCAGAATCTAGACCACACTAAATGACACTGTTTGAAACTGCACTGGTCCTTCTTCCTTTGCCTTTTCTTCTTTTATAACTTTTGCAAGTTGTTTGGTTAGAGGCATCATCATTATGAATACCTCTTTATACACTTTTCTGCTTAAATTGATTTTTGACTTCAGAAAAAAATACAGTAACAATAATAAACTACTCAAGGTGAAACTAAAGGCCTCTATTTATAAAATATCAGGGGGCTGAAGATTTAGCTCAGTGGCACAGCACCTGCATGGCAAGTGCAAGGTCATGAGTTCGACTCCCAGTACTGGAAAAAACAACAAAAACCGAAAAAGATATAAAATATCAATGAATGGGCAGGGCCTACAGCATAGAAGGTGCATGATATGACTGCAACACCAAGTTTGAAAAGAAATTTGAAAAGAATATTTTTGATTTTGTGTATTTAGTCCACATCACAAAAGTGTCTTCCTAATATATTGCCATTTGTATATCCCAATGGATAATAAAATTATCCTGAAATTTTGTTTTAGAGTTATGTCCCTTCCAAACAGCTCCATGCAATCTTTGCATTCCACTTACTCTGGACCTGCAGCTCGTTTCATTCTGAGTGATTTCAAAGCTCCCTGACTTTTATTTATTTATTTATTTATTTATTTTATTTTATTTTAAAAATGAAAAAGCTGACTAAACAACAATGAAGACAAAAACAAAACAACACAAAAACAACAAAAATGAAACATGACCTCCAGACAAAATGATAGAAATTTATAATGGCTGCTAAATTCCATACTGTTATCTTCAAAAAGTTGCTCAGTCCATTAGACGTAAGAATGTAAGACTGATCAAACAATCAAAAACAGTAGCAAGTAAAAAACAATAAAAATAATTTTAAAAGCACATTAGAAATGATGCAGAGCTTCACCATACAAAAGGGTAGGCATTCAACAATGGTTCTTATACCGCATATTGTTTTCAGATCAATTACCAAATTCAAGCATGCAAAATTGGTCAAGAAAAAAAGAAAATTTTAAGCATTGACTGTTCCTCTCAATAAACTACAGACATTAGCAATACACCTATTCCAGCTATCCTTATATATACATACAAATTTTGTTTGTCATTTAAGAAAAAAAATAACAAAAACAAATACATAAACAAAACATCCTAGAGAGCAATAAAAATGATACAGAATTTCAAAACATGGTGATAAGATATTAACAATGGTTGTTATACTACACAATGTCATCTTCAAAATGGCTGCACGTATAACCAGACTCTGTGACTTTTAATAGATACAAGATGCTTCCTCAATCACAAAATGTAAGAGCTGGAAAAGAAAATCACTTTGCTTAACATTTATGTCACATTCATTATAATCACAAATAACCTCGACCTTTTTGGAACTGGCTTTCTAGAAATTATTCCTGCTTTCAGCGTTTGTAGTCTGATTCACAGAGACATTTTTATATCATATCCATGTTCAGATAGGATTTATTTGATAAAAATGTTTTCCAGCTTTCATCTGAATATGACCTTACTTAAATTTAGAATAGTATTTCTCAGAAGAAATACAGAAGCTCCATAAATATATGAAAAAGTGTTCAACATCCCTGACCATTAGCGAAATAAAAATTAAAACAACACTGAGATTCCCTCTCACTGCAGAAAGAACGGCCATCATGAAGGAATCAAATAATAACTGATACTGGTGAGGCTGTGATGAAAAAGGAAAGATCCTACATTGCTCGTGGGAATGTAAACTAGTTACCACCGTTCTAGAAGACAGAGTGGAGGCCTCAAAAACCCAAATTTGAAATTCCATCCAGTTACTCTCCTGCTAGGTATTTTCACGAGAGGAAAAGACAGCATATTACAGGCATACATGCACTCCTATGTTTACAGCAGCACAATTCATAACAGCTAAATCTTAGAAGCACCTTAAATGTCTATCGACAGACACATGGCTAAAGAAACTGTGGTGTTTATACACAATGGCGTACCGCTCTGCAATAAAGAAAAACTTGAGTCATTTGTAGGAAGATGTATGCGCCCTGAAAACATAATTTTAAGTGAAATCAATTGGTTGCACAAACTTAAATACCATCAGGTTTCTGTCATGAGAAATCCTAAGTATAAATAACGTAAAGAGTAAAATAAAAGGCAGATAAAAGGAAACAAAGCAGATAAGTATAGTGCAAGTGGGAAACGGACTCAGACTTGGAGAGAGAGGGGAAAGGAAGAGGAGATATAAAAGAGAAGGAAGATGTGTCCTGTACATGTACCAAAGTTCCACAGTGAAAGTAGTCATTACGTATTGCAAACGTGTGAATAAATAAAACAAGAATAGTGTTTGTAGCTACTAAAGATTGTTATATGTGATGCTATTTGCATAAAAAGGCTGGCTTCATCTGGATAATCTGTAGTTGTATGACCTTTTTCTATATACTACATTTTAATTGAACTTCTTTTGTGTCTTTTATTTTTTTTTTCTAGTGGCCACCTTGATAAAGCTGGTTGTCTATCTGGAAGAAACCATGGACTTTTAACATCAAGTGGCATCTCATGGTTTGACTTCGTTGAAAAATAAAGGGCATAATCTGCCATTTCAGCAAAATAAACACAGTGCAAGCATTTAAAAACCAAGCTAAAGGCTCTCAAATTTTATTAGATACCATACATTATCACCTTTTTTTTTCCTGTTGTAAATTTCAGATTGTCTGGTTTTTTTAAAAAAATACATGTATAGGCTTTTGAAAATAACATACTACTTATCTTTACATTTTTAAACTTGACTTATTTAGATATTAAGATTTATGCTTTAACAAGAGGATAGATTTCTATTGCATTATTCATAATGACTTGTGGTTAAAAATTTTTAAATATTCTTCAACAGTCCTGCAAGAAAGTTTTCACACAACTAAAATCTCTGTTATGTGTTCATATTACAAATAAGGAGTAGTGTATCATTTCCATTAAGGTAAAAGCTGAATGCTAAATTAAAATTTTAAATTTGTGTATAAATTATATCTGTCTTTCTAAAATGCTGAAGTATATAAGTAATCTCCAAGTTGCAGATGGTATCATCACAATTGTCTTCTAAATTAAAGAACTACCAACTATTGTATTAATGCAGTGTATTCTGTAACTGATTTTCAGCCTCCAGTGTGCCGTGTAAAGTGAAGCTCAGGGAATTCTGCTATTAAAAAAGATGAAAGAATCAAGAATACAGCCCACTCCAAGGAACCAGGAGATAAGACAAAATATTAAAGATAATGGTTTTCAGAATTTGAATAATTTTTTTTTAAAAAGGAATTATGAGATAAGAGAAATAAGGATGGTGAGACCTATGATTACCTCATTTACTGTCTGGAAGACTATTCTATATCATGATCCATGGGGATTCTACGCAGAACACGGTGACTCTCCTGAGTTGACGTGGAGTTGTGGAAGAGAGGTAGGACTGAGGAAGTCTCACTAGGTGGAAGTTGTATGGAAGAATTATAGTGAGTGAAGACGATGCAAAGAACAGTATGATCTTCCTATTGTTTGCCTGGGGTCTGCCGACAGCTAAGCTGCCTGTGCATGGCTTAAATTGACAATGTCAGACTTGTTTGCTTCCTGCACAAGGCCAGGAAGCGAAGGGCTGGCTGGTTATAACCCGACCAGTCTCCTGCACTCACACTTAACACACACAGATATTTGAGTATTGACAAGACAGCATGCAGAGACCCGTGTACATATGTGGCAGTTAGTGCAGACACCACAGGACTTGTCCCAGTAGTAAATTGCTACTCTAGGGCCAGCCTAAGGTAGCTTACTGACTTTGAAATAGAGGAGTCTTCCATTACGCACCACCAACACATTCTCAACCCCTCAGTAGATACCAGAACTACATTTGATACTGAATCGTTGATAAACCATGCTTTCTTATACATATGTTTCATGTGATAGATTTAATTTATAAATTTCCAAAGAGATTAACAACAAAAGCTATTCATAAATAGAACACAACACAATATACTGTAAAAATATTATAAATTATGGTCTTTTTCTCTCTCTGGAGAGAGTGAAGGCAACTATAAACATTTTCAAACCACAGTTTCATTTCTGTTGCCCATGGATGAGCACAGGCAACAGAAATTGTGATGAGACGGGGAACAAGCGGAGACTACTGTAATGGGACTTGTCCACAAGTAAGTGTCTATTGGAGTAAACATCCATCCCTGTCCAGGGTGAGCAGGTCCCCTGAACTAGGTGCCTGCAGACATATAAGAAAAGTAAGAAAAAAATCAAACCAAGAGAGCCAAAATCCTGTGATCAGGTGCTAGCAGCCTCTAGGACTGACTCCTGATTACCATCTTCAGTAACCATTTTTTTTTTTTTTTTTTTTT